AGTGTCGCACCCGTACTGGACCGGGACCGGCAACGGGATCGCAACCCTTGCCGCTGCGCCCGCCCCTCGCTCAGCCAGTGAGCAGGAACCGGTCTGTATGTGGGATCCGAACCCTCGGCGGGAGCGCTGCCGCGCTTCCCAAGCTGCGCGCTGTAGCAGTGCGCCACTGGGCCGGCCCCAGCATCTGAACCTCTTGACGTGGGTATTATAACACCATGCTCTGACCAATTGAACTAACTGGCCAGTCCCCTACAAGACTTTAAGAAATGTAAAATACTAAGCATAAGTAGAACTAAGAATATTTGTCTTAAAATCAAACTATGTCTTCTGTTTTCTATTAAGAAAAAGAATGGATTAAAGTAAATTTTTTAAAGTTTCTTTTAACTTAGATTGTTCCACATGAATTTAAAAAGTATGACCCATGAATAAAATATTGGTTTTTGTTCTATAAACTATGTGCTCCTCATAATTTCAAATTTACCTTTTTCAGGAAGAGAATGAGTGATATTCCACCCAGAATGGAAGTGTGTCCTTATTGTAAGAAGCCATTTAAACGATTAAAATCCCACTTGCCCTACTGTAAGATGATAGGACCAACCATACCTGCTGATCAAAAAGTATATCGGTCCAAGCCAGCTACACTCCCACGTGCTAAAAAAATGAAGGAGCCAATGAAAGATGTAATTAAAGCTAAAGGGAGAGAGTTAGAGACAGAGAGTGATGAAAGAAATACTAAGTTGATAAGGGACAAACCAGAACAGACAAATAAATCCTTTCCACTACTGGCTGTTGGTTTAGAAACATCAAGTACTAAAAAGGCAGATAAAGACATCAAGAATCAAATTCAGCTCTCCTTCAAAATGTCAAAAAAAATAGAACCAAAGATTACTTTCCATGGAGAAACTAAGTCTCAGTGTCATGCATCAGAGAACACTTCTCCTAAAAGAGAACTTGCCAAAGATTTGCCTAAATCAAAGGAAAGTAGATGTACTCCTTCAGGAACTGAAGCATCTTTACTGGTTGGCTCAATGGAACCTTCTTTGTCAAATCAAGATAGAAAAAATTCCTCAGCCATACCAAATGATGTACAAACCACTTCTGTTAATCTGAAATTGGACAAAACTGATCCCCAAAGACAGGGACCTCTAGGAAAATTACTAGATTCACCTACTGGTGATTTCCATAGTTCTTCAAAGAACCTCAGGGATGAGGTTAAAAGAGTAAGCACACCATTGTCCAGCAATGAGAGCGGTTCCAAAGTTAGGGATCATCTCTCTGAAGTCCCTACTGATCTTAGAGTCACTGAGACTAAGGAAAAGAACACAGAACCACTCATCTTAGGCCTTAAAATTAGCCCGTTAGGTAAAATCCAAGTCAAGGAGAACCAAGAAGAAGGACTTAGTCTTAGAGTAGAGGCATGTGGGAGCAGCAGAAATGCACAGAAAATTGTGTCTGCAACAGAAATGCAAGAATGGACTTTCATGCACCATGTGCCCAAGAACTTGAGTACTGATGAGGCGACCACAGAGAAGAAATCGCAGGGTGAAGGTGCACATTTCAACTTGTTCACTCCAAGGGAGACAGCTTACAATAAATTTCTTCCTGTGTCGCAGTCAAGTAATCAAAGTCTTGCCTCTTTGGCTATAAAATTTCTCCAAGAAGAGAAAGCACAAGTTTGCAGTCATAATCCTATTCCTGATAAAAAGGCATTTATGGAGAGTAAGAGACAAGCTTCTGTGGAACCCAAATCTGGCTGTGAGTCCCAAGCATTGCATGCTGGGTGCCAGCGATCTTCACATTCAGCCCAGCATTACGTTTCTAAAAACCCTTTCGTCAATCATGTTGCTGTTGCTGACAGGAAGACCCTTCCAAGCTCCATGGGGCTGGAGTGGTTTCCAGAGCTCTATCCTGGTTATCTTGCACTAGGGGTGTTGCCAGGGAAGCCTCTGTATTGGAATGCAGAGCCCCAGAAGCTTCAGCTCATCGGTCCCCAGGGGGGAAGACAAGGTAAACAAGCTCATTTTCAAGGGCCATCCAGCCCACCCACAGTCCTCTATGCCTTTTGAATTAATAAGGGTCAGAATACTAATATTTTCACTCAGTATATTGTTGCTCAAGAGGTCACTAGTGGTTTATCACTCTCCCTTTCCCTCCACAAAGAGTTGGAGGTTGGACTTGGGCAGGCTGGTACTATTAACAGCAGTTCAATTTCTGTATTGGGAAGAGGCATGGCCGGTAGAAATTGCACGGGTATTCAAGCTGAATAGTCTCAAGAAAACCATAAAGACTTCAAAATTCACCTAAATAGAACAGGCTTTATTCAGAATTCAATCAGGACCAGGTTGTACAGGAAACAGTTTCCAGGTTTATGACCAAATGCAACATTTAGGAACTTAGAGTAGCAACGAATGTATTTTTGTAGTTGAGGGTAGGATGGGGTTAAACTGGCCAGGTAAGAGTGGCAGATAGGTGGAGGTGGAGCTTAGGAGGTGATCCCGTGAAGATCAAGGACCAGGAACAGAAGAGGTTGCAAAAACCATGTAGAAGTCCATGCAATGGAAAAACCAGGCCAGAGAGATTAGGACTCGAGTAGAACCAGAGCTTGCGCCTTGAGACATGAGAGGTTGGGTAAGAAGGGCTTGGGCAAAGAGAATGGATGTTGAAACTGATCCTGATTATCAATCAGTCTCTTCAGAAGCTTCCTAGATGCTCCTTGCTGGTGGCTAGAATAGGTTAACATGGGTAGACTGAGGCCCAAGTAGGAGCCAGCAAGTTCCTGACAGTCATTTCAGGTAGCCTTGCTCTTTTCTGCTGAATCCCTTCATTAGTTGTTGGACTACCCCTCAGTACATAATTTCTTCATTTTTCTCACCAGAAAGCCTTGGATTTTTTTTTTTTTTTTTTAAGATTTTCTAGGAGCATAATTAAAGTAGCATCCATCTGTCTTGTGTTATGGTCATTGGTACTTTCAACCTTATTTTGACAGGAGATCTATAACAACTCAGAATAGGTTTGCACCTGAAAAACTGATACTATCTTTCCCTAAAGGGAGAAATTCCCCCCTCCCCTTTTTTTCCTCCTGTTACATTTTGCACACAATCATATATTCACTAAAACCTTATTTGTCTGGTCTCAAAACATTTTCTTTTGTATTATAATTATCCTTCTCTAATGGGTTTCAGAATGGACGTGTATTAAGTAAAGAGCATCCATCGCTAGCTAATGCTACCTTTCCTTCAACTACCTCAGTAAAAACAGGTTTTTCTACAAACAGGCCTAACTAACATCTAGACCTTTTTGTACCAAGTTGGAAACAAGCCGCTTCTCCACATTAAACACAGACTTAATGATGTTAACATTTGTGTTGCGTTGTGGTTTTCAGAGTGCTTCCATCTGTATTTTCTCATTTTGACCACACAGCTGTGAGAGGTGGGCAGAGTAATTTTATATCTATCTTGCAGATGATAAAACAGGCACAGAGAGGATAAGTAATTTGTCCAAGGTCATGTTGCCAATAAATGGTGGAGTTGCAAGTAGAACCTATTCTCCTGAGGCTTAGTTTGATCCTTTCCCCTAAACCATGCCATAGAAAATGAGTGCACTGTAACTAGAAACAGGTGTTCGCGGGCCGGCCCGTGGCTCACTCAGGAGAGAGTGGTGCTGATAACACCAAGGCCACGGGTTCGGACCCCATATAGGGATGGCCAGGTGGCTCACTGGGTGACCGTGGTGCTGACAACATCAAGTCAAGGGTTAAGATCCCCTTATCGATCATCTTTAAAAAAAAAAAAGAAAAGAAACAGGTGTTCGCAATAGCTCCGTATTTGCGTTTTCAGTCGCATGTGCATACCTTCACCCATGGTAAATCTCTCTAGCAAGTGGAAGGACTTTTTTTCCTGAACTATCTTTTACAGTGCTAAAGACTGTCCTTAATACATCCACTTTTCATTTTAAAGGAAAAAGGAAGGGAAGTAATGTTTATCAGTGGTGACTGTGTCATGCTAGGAACTTAACGTATTATCTCATTTAATCCTAACAGTTCTGAGGTGATATCACTGCCCCACCCTCTTATATGTGAAGGTTTTTTGGGGGTTTTTTCGGTGGCTGGCCAGTATGGGAATACAAACCCTTAACCTTGGTGTTATAACACTGCAGTGTAACCAACTGAGCTAACTGGCCAGCCCTATGTGAGAAATCTGAGCCTCAAACATCTTAAGTGACTTGCCCGTGTCTGTGTACCATGTGACAGAGTCCAGATTCAAATCCAGGTCCTTCTGACTCTCCTGTCTGTAGTCTTTAAACTCTGCCTCAGGCCTACTGTTTGGGATAGTTAGTGGTCTTGCTTGATATGTTATTATTTGATACATTTCACTTTAATGGGTCCCAAGAATACAGTAATAATGAGAGATACAGTAACATATTAAATCATCAGGTTTATGGGGTAGAATATTGGGAGGAGGAATATTTTTTTCTTCAACAATAAATTCCTTCTGAATAGTGGTTAGAAACTACTTTGTTCTTTTCTTGCTTACAGTCTATAATATTGTGATTAGTTTGGTACTTCTATATCAGACAACAAGGTGTGGCCATCATAGGACCTATACTTCTGTTATAAGCTGAAAAACCATTGAAGTTGGATCTGGGATTAATGCTCGAACTCTAATGCTGCAATCCAAATGAACAGAAGATCCTAAAGGAGAGAGAACCTAGGATTTCAGTTAAGGTCAAGACCTGAGTGATCCCTCAGTTAGCCAAGGACTTCATCAAGGGCACCTAAATCTATAAGGATTAAAAAGTAGTATCACTAGCTCATCAGAAAGCTTTGTAATTTCACAGGCAATGGTTTCCTCCAATGACTTGCACATTAAAGTTGAACTTTCATGGAATCTTCACAGAAGAGAATAGGCTATACATTCCCTTGCTCAGGCAAGGTTTTGATAGGTCATTTGCCCCTCCTCTCAGGCAGCCAACTCATTCTTTGACACTTAAAGGCAGGGCCAGTGAGCTAACAATTACTGAGTTAACTATATGTCAGGCATGATACATACATGTTTACATAGGTTTTCTCAGGTAACTTACACTAACTCTAGGAGATTGGTATCCTTTTTTACAGATGAAGAAACTGAGTTTCAGAGAGGAAAAATAACTTCCCAACATCCAATTTCAATTAATGGTTAGCATGTAACTTTACCTGATGGCCTTCGCCAAGCTTTTCTGGGTAGCATTTCTTTTGTTGGACTGTGGGCTTCAGGATTAGGTCAGATACGTTTTCCTAATGTTGGGAAACCCATAACAGCAGCTAGTCCTTGTACATTAGGAAACTGAGTAAATTTGAGTGAAGTGATTCCATGAGATGGAAAGGTTTGCTGGGCCTTGAGAAGCATAAAAAACTATCTTGACATTTTGATCAAACAGGGTAGAGCCAAAAGCTCTCATGGCTGAAGAAAGATGGATATATTTTGGTAGCCTAGAATAGGAACTACACCAAAGCAGACTGGCAGTTTCGAGGATGCCACCAAGTCAAGTTTTAGTAAATTAGGAATAAGAGAATTAGGCTTATGGAATTCAGCATTAGGAATCATCTTTTCAGTTTCAGCAAGAAAGATTTTCATGGACTTACTACCAAAAGGAGTTTTCCTTGCCTGAGAGAAAATAGATTTTAGAAGTTCAAGATTTAAGTATCAAGAGACTCAACAAGTACAAATGTCTGAGACTCCTCAGCAATAACAGTTGGCTTCCATTGTTCAAGGGAAAGCGTTCAGGGCTGAGAGTTCTTGGCTGATCTTTGCAGAATCCATCATGTCTTGGCTTTGGGGACTCAAAGTTTGAGAGATCTACATTCTTGGTTCCCAGACTGGGACAATTAACAGTTACACATGGGCCATTTTTTTTATATTAAAGATTCCTAAGCATCATCCCCAGAGATTGATTCTGAAGGACCAAGGATTATATGTCTCCTAGGTGTTTCTGAAGAGCAGCCAAGTTTGGGACCACTGATGCAAGTGGTGGCATTGAAGCAGGTGCCTTAGACCCAGCAGCGGAACAGTCTCAGACCCAGGGGGGTGAGGGGGGGGCATTTGGAAAACACGTAGTTCATATAACTACAGAAAACAAAACTTGGCTGATGGGAAAGCCAGAAGATAAAGTAAAACTGTAAAGGGTCGTGGGTTTTTAAAGGCCAGGAAATAGCTAAATAAAAGCTCTTCCTCTAATCCTCAAATAGGATTTCTATCAATAGGGTAGCTATCTATATGCAAGGTGTTGGAGATGGGGACATGGGGAAGAGACTCAGAATAGTCAGGATCAGAACTTGAGCAGGTTTATGACAAGCCCGGATTAGGTCTGCTGCTAGCCAGAAGGGACATGTGAGTAATGTACACCCAAAGACGGAAGGGGTGAGTCAGGTCAGACATCTGGGATCCAGACCAGGCCAGAGGGATGGTAGAAAATTATAGAGCTACAGAGGCTCAATGAGGATTTTCAGCAGTTATATTCTGGAGTAGAACCATGTAAGTCGGGTTTGAGTTTTAAAGACATTAATACTGGCAGGTAAAAAAAAAGACAGGGTCTAGGAGCTGAGGTGGCAGAGGGTGTGGCAAAGAGAATTGGTGGTCCCAGGCCCACTGTTGAACCCGGGCAGGCTGTAAGGGATGTAGATCTGAACCCAGAGCACCTGGCAACAAGTGGGAAGACACTGAAGACAACTATCACAGGATTTTGGTGCATCCTGAGCTGGCCTCTCCTCAACCGTGGGCATCTTATATGATCCCAGCTCAGGGCCTGTACTGGTGTCATTCACATAAGCTTGGCTGAATCTATAGCTGGAAGTAAACAGGCTTGACTGACTAGAAAGGAAGAACAAGGTCAAGGAGCCGCACAGTTCCTGACACTCCTGAGAACATGGTTGTACAGTCGCAGTTTTCCTGACATTGTTTCTCCCCATCTTCCTCAGACTTTTTCCAAGGTCAGTGGGCTTCATCATGTCTTGTTTTTTAAGAGACTTTTCACCTTGCAAGAGAATTATTTTCTGTATAATCTCTTGGAAGCCAGCATGGTTCTTTTCATTATTTAATATAGTGATCATTGGGATAGTATTTTTACATCCACAGCAACTTTTACCACACCTGCTAAACATGTCATCAGTATTTGCTTAATTTATCCTTTATCCTGACAACCAAATCAAAACCAGAGAACCATCAATAGTAGAGATTACCCGTCTGTCATTAAACATGGAGAAAAACAGGTGCAGGGAAAATGTGAACTCTTTTCTGGTTCTACTTAAGTTAGTGATGCATTGAACATAAATAGGAAATGTTTGCTGGCCAGTAAAAGGAATGGAGTAATAGAAGAGATACTGACACAGATAGCAGTGACACATAGTAGTCATTTATAAGTGAAAGCTATGCTCTTTGCTAAAATGTTTAACAGAAAATATAAATGATCATTTCATGAAGCATGTACACATGGATCATCTGGGCAGCATATTCATCAGATCAAAAATAAGTATAGGTCCTGATCACCAGGGACTCCCTCAGCCTTTTGAAAAAACTTCTTGACCTGGAATAGGTTTGTCTTTCAACATTTAGCTGCAATTCAGTGCAGAGATTATTAATCCATCTACTTAACGCCTTCTTTTCCTGGAGTCTAGCCATAGGAACCTTCAGCACTGAATGTTGGGGAAGGGGTAAATCTAGATGAACTATCACAGTGACTTCTGTTTGGAACCGTAGTTCCTCTGTTGGAAAGAAGTTCGACTGATAAAAGGAGTTTGGAACCCCCGACCAGGCTTACAACCTCCAACTTTTCTCTAATGAGGCTCTTGGGAGCTGTACAAAAAGGTGAGACTGTTGGATTCTGTTGCTGATTGCTGGCATTTGGAGAAGTTTCTCTCACTTTAGGCTGTTACAGGAAGGCCAAGGAAAAAGAAGATGTTAGTCTTCTGTTTGTTTTCATTTTGGAGTTTGACATCAAAGCACTAAAGCTACTGTGATATCAGCTGACATTTATTGAATAGCTTTCATTTAATACCCACCCTTGCCTCTCTGTGCCACCAGTCCCCAACTCTCACTTGCCCACATTGATCATGCCAATTGATCTCCTAAAGCCAGAGAGGCTCTAAACCTCAGGTTAACCAATTGTGTAGTCTTCTCCCCACTAAAGACTGTAACCAAGGTTTCCCCCCACACAAAGCAAGAGTGACTAATTTGAATTTATTAAAGTTAAGGTCTTCTGAATTTTAGCCTTTTCATCTGTTTAATCTGTATATTTAAATTATCTGAATAACAGTTCCATTGCCTAAGCTAACTGGGATAATTTGAATAACTCAGATAATGATGCTGGTTTCAGGTCACTGTAACAGACCTGTTTCTCTTTGAACAGGCTGGATCAGGGGCAGCACCGCCATAAAGAAGAGTGGAGTTGGTGGCATCACAGTATTCTTGACGGGATCCTTCATCTTTTGTTGTAGCTGGAGTTTCAGGCATCTGAGTAAGCCTTTCTATATTCTTAGCTTAAATTACAGGCCACATCCCATTATACGGACCTCCAAGGGATTCTCTGAATTGCTTTTCATATTACAGTTTTGCATTATCTGACATGCAATAGTGAATGAGCTATTGTCTGGAGCTCTGGGGGGTTTTATTACAGGTTTTGGTTATAATGGCCTTCAGAAGAGTTGACTAGAATTTACATAATTGTTCTTGTCCTCCATTTAGTGTTGTCACTGGAGAGCTGGGATCTTGTTTTTTCTCCCTTAAGTGGTTTCCCTGCTAGAAGAGAAGGTGCTTTCCTTAGTGCTTAAGAACTCCGTTTTAGCATCAGAACCAAACAGCTTTATACGACGAGGAAGAACAGAATACAGCTGTTTCCCATCAAGGTGTCTAATACTAAGGGGCTAGCCAGTTAGCTCAGTTGGTTAGAGTTGTGGTGGTACAACACCAAGGTCAAAGGCTCGGATCTACTTACTGGCCAGCCACCAAAAAAACAAATAAACAGGGGCCGGCCCGGTGGCGCACTGGATAAGTGCGCAAGCGCGGCGGCGCTCCCGCCCGAGGGTTCGGATCCCACATACAGACCGGTTCCCGCTCACTGGCTGAGCGAGGCGCGGGAGCAACACCGAGGGTTACAATCCCGTTGCCGGTCCCCGGTCTGGTACGGGGGCAACACTGAGGGTTGCGATCC